CATTGCTGGATGTCGAGAAGTGAGTGAATCTTTTTCAAATGTTGCACAAATGCATCTATTCCTTAACGTTTAAAAGATGCACTTTCAAGATGTGTTTCAACAGTAGTGAAATATACTAATTTGACTAATACAGCTCTTTGCAACTGACTTGATTCTGGTCAGTATGTTTAAGCACATGCAGGTGGGATTGTGGCTTGTTAGCGGAGGAGGCAAAATAGCCTTATTACAAGTCATTTCAAAACGACATCTTTATCATCTTCTTGAACTTTCAGAATTCATATTTAAGGCCAATGTGGGCTTCTCCGGGACAAAGGCCATATCATATTTGAGCTACATGTTGAAAACAAGTAACAGAAATGAATGAGTGAGTGATTTTGATTTGATTGAAACTTTAATATGGCGCTTTACATTGGTTGCCAGATAGACACATTTGTCTCAAGGAATGTGAATGAATGAATTGTGAATGTAATACGTTTGCAGACAGCGTCCTCTGTTGGGTGACAGTCAAGTTTGTATGCGAGACAAACGTTTCTTCATCTAGAGGGCGCTGATTTCCATTTAGCCGCATTCACATCTCAGGGCGCTTGACTAAAAGCCTTATTTCTCGAGACATGTCCTGGCCGGGATTTCTCAGTTGCCTAAAATGTCAGAGTTTTGGCTTTGTTTTCCTATTGACTTGCACTCTACACTCTTTATACATTATATGTAGTAGGCCTACAACGCATATTAGCATTGCTGGGACCGTTCTCCATAGATCCCACCCTCTCGCGGGCCACGATTGGTCGATTATGTACAATGCCTGCACGCTATTGGTCAAACTGCCTTTCAGTCATTACTATCAGCAAGTATTAAAACAGTCCAAAAACAAATACAAACTCGGACATTTTCGGCAATTTAGAAATCCTGGCCAGGATATTTTCAAAGAGGACGTATGATCAACTTAAATTACATTTGTTTTGAGTATGTTATCTTTATTTGACCCTCTAACTCTAGCACTCTCTATTCTAATTCTATCGTAGCTGTTTGTTTTCTTTTTTTTAATTAAAAAAACATGACCCTTTAAGACTTGCACTCTTATTTGTTTTCTAACTGCTTGTTTTCTATTTAAAAAAGACCTCTAACACTAGCTTTCTCTATTCGTTTTCTGTTCTTTCTATGTTTTCTTTTTAGCTATTATATAATAATTAATAAAAACCTTGCTACGTGTACTGCGTTAGGCTAGCTGAGACTTGTTACAGCACTTGCATATTATTGCTCTTTTGTTGATTCTGATTGCTCCATTCTATTGTCCTCATTTGTAAGTCTCTTTGGATAAAAGCGTCTGCTAAATGACTAAATGTATGTTTAAATCTACTAATGCATTGTTGCCTGACATAAAATAACACAAATATCTATAAAAGTGTGTGTGTGTCCGTGTTTGTAGTGATGCTTTAGTAATTTTGGTAGGCCATTTCGAATTAAAGTACTACAGATCCCATCATGCACCGGATTATGTGTAAACAGAATCTGACCAATGAGTTTACAGGTTTAATGAAGTCACGTGTCTAGCAGCCTGATGATTGGTCATCCACGAATCCATGTTTGAAACGTGATTTTCTTCGCCGGCCGGTGGTGTCGTCTTCGTCTCAGTGGGTTGTTTACTGTATCAAATTATTCAAATAGGATGCCAGTTCACCCGCGTGATAGAAAAGAGAATAACCACGAAGAAATGGACGTGGACTATCCCGAGCAAGAGGCCAGCAGCTCCGAAGAAGAGGACTCCGTGAGCTCGAGCGTGTCTGAGGATGGGGACACTTCAGGTAGCGTTGCAGACGGACACTCCTCGAGCCGTGTGTTGCGTGTGGGAGAGTAATAATGATGGTGGTGTTCTTGCAGACATGGATGATGAAGACTGTGAAAGAAGGCGAATGGAGTGTTTAGACGAGATGACAAATCTTGAGAAGCAGTTCACAGACCTGAAGGATCAGTAAGTGTCATGAAAACCTGGAGCACAAAACCAGTCTTAAGTAGCACGTGTATGTTTGTAGCTATAGCCAGCAATACATTGTATGGGTCAAAATGATCGATTTTTCTTTGATGCCAAAAATCATTAGGATATCCCAGGGGTGCCCAAACTCGGCCCTGGTCCTGGAGGGCCGGTGTCCTGAAGAGTTTAGCTCCAACCCCAATTAAACACAGCTGAACCAGATAATCAAGCTCTTACTAGGCATACTAGAAACTTGAAGGCAGGTGTGTTGAGGCAAGTTGGAGCTAAACTCTGCAGGACACCGGCCCTCCAGGACCCCTGGGATATTAGGTAAACTTCCATGAAGATATTCTGTACATTTCCTACCGTAAATATATCAAAACTTAATGTGTGATTAGTAATATGCATTGCTAAGAACTCCATTTGGACAACTTCAAAGGCGATTTTCTCAATATTTAGATTTTTTTTGCTCCCTCGGATTCCAGATTTTCAAACAGTTGTATCTCAGCCAAATATTGTCTAATCCTAACAAACCACACATCAATGGAAAGCATTATTTATTCAGCTTTCAGATTATGCAAAAATGGTTTTGTGGTCCAGGGTAATGTATTTCATGTGAAGACTCCAGCTGGTATGTTATGTCTCTTTTTAGTTTGTATAAGGAGAGGCTGACTCAGGTGGATCTTAAATTGCAAGAAGTGATTGCTGGCAGTGCTCTGGAATACCTCGAACCCCTGGCCACCCTGCAGGAGAACATGCAGATCCGAACCAAAGTCGCAGGTCAGCTCCAGACAAACATACTGTTTGTGCAAAGGCGTTACAGAAGTATTTAAACTCTGTCGTTTTTGTAGTTTACAGGAATTCAGTCATTGTTTATGTTTGTTATATATTATACTGTAAAGCAGTGGCCTTCAACCTGTTTCAGGTCAGGAGTATTGCATTTAAAGCTGGGCCTATATCATGTACTGTAGTACCATATTAACATATTTACATACTGTTATAATGCTTACATTAAACATTAGCCTATATTTTGCATCTACGTCTAATATATAACCTTGGTTAACTGGTTGTAGATGTTGGTAAAATGTTTGGTTTTGTAAGATGTTTTTGAAAGTCTCTTAAGCTCATCACGGCTGCATTTATTTGATCAAAGATACAGTAATAACAGTAGCCTAATGTTGTAATATTATATTTTCAAATAGCTTTTAACATTTAAAAATGTAATTGTTCCTGTAATGTGACGCAGATTTATTTTGTTTCAGAAGTCATCCTAATATGCTGATTTGAAATTATCAAAAGAAAAACGTATACTCACTGTTTGCTCATGTATATTATTTCAGGGATCTATCGTGAGCTCTGCTTGGAATCTGTTAGAAACAAATACGACTGTGAGATGCAAGCAGCCAGCCAGCATTGGGAGGTAAAATTCATAGAGCCCAGGACAAAATTTGTGGTGGCCCCACATTTCATTCATATTCCCACCGTCTTTGTGTGTGTGTTTACTAGGGGTGTGCGATATATATCGTCTTCGACAATATCGTAATTGTTGTTAACAATGTGCGATTTGACATTATCGAGTATTTTGCAAAAAACTTTCAAAACACCACTACAAAGTGCATGCATACATTACGTGAAGTCTAGACTAGTGTGCGTGCGCATTTAGAGTGCGTTCTTTCACTGCATGATTCAGGCTACGTCCACACGAAGCCAGAGCTTTCCCTATCCGATCTGTGCGTTCTTTCACTGCATGATTCAGGCTACGTCCACACGAAGCCAGAAATTTCCCTATCCGATCTTTTTTTCCCCCTCAAGAAATATCTACATACACACGAAACCGACACAAAACGATGTGGTATACCTGCCAGACCAGTATGTGGCGCTGTAATTCTGCCACAGAGTTACACTAAAAACAAAGAAGAAGACTTGGACTATGCGCATAAACCTTGCGCGCGGTATACAAACTAATATTTTCTGAAAATATTTATACGATATTTTCTGTTTTTGCGCTATTTCGACAAGAAAAAATTATTCCAAACATAACCACAACGCTGTTTTGCGTCTTTGAGCAACATGACAGTGTTTCGTTCCTGAATGAATCGACCGTTTAAATGATTTCAGTTCAATCGCAATGACTCCCTTATTAACAGTGACTTGCTGCCACCTACTGGCGGATTTAATTTCACAGTCGGAGTATCTTTTATGATTTAAATAATTTCAAACATCAGAATTCAAATGAAAATGGACACTTTTAGAAAAAAAATGGCTTTATAAAGGTCAAAATCAGTTAAAACGTATTGGAAAAGATTAATTTCTATCAGTATGAACTGACCACTGCACAGAACTTGATGACAAGGATGAGCCTTGTTCAAAGCAGAAGAGCAGTGAAGCCCAACTTATTGGTACTGCTGATACTGAACACATGACAGTTTCCATGCCTTTATGAAATGCAGAGTTTGATTTATGGAGCATGTCTCAGTGTTCTGCAATGAGTTAGTGCCATGTGTCCTGTTCTGTGAGATGCATAATGTTTTAAACAACAGAACGGTCCACAGAGTGTTATTTTTGTACTTGTTCTAAAAAAAAAAAATAGACAACTTGTGAATTCACTCTAAAAGTCTATAAAATGTATTTAGGAGAATGTCTTAGTTTAGTATTAACGTAGCAGGGCTTGTGCAAGTCATGTATTTGTTTTGTAACGATTATTATTTTCCGTTAAACCAATCAAATGTAGCATATTCTGAGCCTTTGATCAAATATATGATTCATGTCTGGCTATATTTCTGTTAAATATTGTATTTTTTGATTGCCCAAAAAAGAGATTTGTGAAAGTCTCTTAACAGTTGTACTGAATGTTGTGTATTTTCAGTATTTATCAAATATTCACATACATTTTACAGTGGTTTAGCACTTGAGTGGTTTGTAATTGTGTATCGAGTTGCATGATTTGACTTATTTCATAATTATAATTTTTTAATTACTGATTTAAAAATGCTTTAATTGATGCAGTACCAAACGCTACACCAATCCGGACAAAAGAACCATGTTTTTCGGACATCACAGAGCCACAAAGGTCCAACGCATCCAGTTCACAGCTTTAATAAAAAATCTCCTTAAATCAGTAAGGAGCAAATCATATCTGAGTATTATGTGACTGATAAAACGATTTCTGTAGCAAATAAAGTGCTCTGACTGGACTGTGAATTCCCAGAATGTAATTATATTGCTTTATTTGACACTGGAGTTTTTGTTCAGTTCACAGTGGAAATGTCATATTCTGTTATAAAGGTGATTTTGCATGGCATTGTGTTGTTTTTGTATTTATCCTGTAGGACTTCGAAACCAAAGTCACAATGTTTCCCAACCTTTCTTTGCAAACACCAAATCAGAAATGTGTTCCTTTTAATTTGTGCGAGATATCATTCAACATTAAAATCAGGGTTATTATAGTTAAACCATAACTAAATATTCACTGAAATAAAATATGCATAAACATTTTATTTCAGACAGTTGCCAAGGTAACACTTTTTTTATGTTCATTTGGTTAAAAGGATTGACCAAAAAAAAACCTAAAACTTAAATAAAATTAATAAAAACTATATTGCCATATATTAAAATCTTAATTTAATTTTAAAAATCTAATTTAAATCGTTATTTAAAACCACAATAGTATCTCAGTGATACTAATATTTAAAAAAAAAACTGATTAACATTTATATTATATAAAACATTACTCAAGAAATACTTTGCGTAAAACCGACTAACAAATATAGCTCAGCTAAAAAAGAAAATTGACTAAAGGCCCACTGACACACACACAATCACTGAGAAATGTATTAGAATAATTCATTCTTTTATGTTTCAAAGAAGAACGAAAGTCAAAAAGGACGAGTGAATGACAATTGTAATTTTCAGGTGAATATGGGCATGTTGACGTGCAGAATTAATTTCTGCAATCTGAATTCTCACGTAAATTATCTTTATTCCTTCTGCTCAAGTTTTATGAATATCCAAGAGGCCTATATATATTTTCCAAATGATGATATTAACCATGATTAGTCATTTTAAACACTCCTATATTTAGTAATACTAATATTTTAGTATTGTATATTAAAAATTTGTAATTACTATTAAATAAGAAATATTAGGCTAATATTTTTGAGTCATGATTTCTTATTTAACAGTTTAAAAATGTTTATTAAATGCAGTGTCTTTGTATGACCATGTAGAGGCAGTAGAAACTTACTGGTGTTTGTTTTGTGGGTCACTGCATGTTTGCTGTACTGCTGCCTCTGCTTTCCAAGGACTTTCATCACTTTTGTGGCAGCCTCTCCTCAAGAAATCTCCTCATCAAGCCCTGCTTTCTCTGGACAGTGGAGTCTTTAGTCTTTGTAATAGCCTCTTTCTCAACTGATATTTAAGAGTTTTTACAGCCAGCACGTTCTCTTCAGTCAGCAGGTGACTAATGGTGGCACTCGTGATGAATTCTTTATAAGTCAGAAGAACCTGACACTCCTTCACAAGGGCCAGAGTTAATGAGCTCGAGCAAAAGACAAAGAACACCTTTATGAGACGCCTTTGTGTTTGGGACCAAGCGTTTGTAGCCCTGAACTGATGCAACAACCTACTGATATGCTCACAAAAAAAAAAAAAAAAGGTAAAAACGCTACAGCGTTAAAGTGTCCACACCACAGCCAAGAGCAGAACCGACTTTCTGCAAACGCAACAAAAATCATTAAAGCTGGAGTGTGCGCTTTCTGCTCCACTAGCATAACGAAATGGAACTGCAAAAATAATGATTGTTTCACACAGGTTTCCCGAACACTCCCCCGTCTTTCATTGGTCGAGAAACCAGTAGCCACGCCCCCAAACTCACGCCATTGGCGTTAACTTCTTCTGGAAAACGAAAAAACCTACAAATGGTTTTGTATCTGCACATTGAGTTGGAAGCAAGTAATTTAACGTTGAGAAAACTACACACTACACCTTTTAATGTGTTTTACACTTACACAATGTAAGTATCACTTAAACGCAGAGAAAAAAAGGTCTAAAAAATGTCTAAATTAGCAGCATTTGAAATAAGTGTAACATTGCCTAATATGGGCTATTTTATAGCCATTAAAATCCTATTAAAGGGTTAGTTCACCCAAAAATGTTTTACTCACCCTCGAAGCATCCTAGGTGTATATGACTTTCTTCTTTCAGACGAATCCAGTCGGAGTTATATTAAAGGGGTCATATGATGCGATTTCAAGTTTTCCTTTCTCTTTGGAGCGTTACAAGCTGATTGTGCATAGATAAGATCCCTGAAGTTGCAAAGACTAAAGTCTCAAAACCAAAGAGATATTCTTTATCAAAGTTAAGTCTCTGCCATGCCCCCCTAAAATGGCTCGTTCTAACACGCCCCCACATATCTACCTCACTATGTGGAAATATTTGCATAATGCCGCCCAAATGTGCACGCAAATAAAGAAGGCGTGGTTTCAGTAACCGCAGTTAGTGTTGAAGCAGCATGTCAGGGAGACGCTGTGTGTTTCTAGGCGAAAGCAAAAGCACTTTTTTTGGCCTTCCGAAAGTAGATGCATTTAG